TAGAAAAGACCAAACCCAAACAATCCCACCAAACATCTTGATTACAAAGCCTTCAACAGTTTTTGTTGAAGCTATCACCAGCGTCGTAAGCCCACCACCATGCTAAGTTGAGTGCACAACACACTCGACTGCCATCAGCAATCGCATTACCCACGACTTTTTAGTGGTTATAGCTAGCCAACAGTAAAGCACAATCGCATTACCCACTCGACTGTCAGAGGGTCCAAACATAGAGTGATTATAGATACTTCTTTCAATTTATTAATCTACTTCATGCTGCCTTCATCTCTGAGTTTTGTCTCGGTCATACGCATTGTGTAGTTTTTTGTGCAAAATCACTCTATTTTTCAACCCCCTTGACAATGAACATGTACAATTTCAAAGGGATCGACAAATAGATCCGACAATGCTGCAACGTGCGCGTAAGACATAGCTAAACAATTCATCATCATACAGACTTCTTTTACCCTCTCTGAGAGCCACCGGTGCGGGCGGTTGCCGTCGAGAAGCGACTGATAACAGTAATGATAACGCGGCATTTGATGGATCCATCTCAACAGTCTCCATGGTGGTTTATCATCACTGGTCATGATCGATATTGAAATATCATCAAATTATCAATTCGTGTGGACACTGGCCTTTTGTTTGTGGAAGGGGGGTTATCCCCACTAGCAACAACTGGGACTAGGAATAGAAAGAATCATCTGCTTGCACAGAACTCTTAGCTGGTCGGTTTCTCTCTTGCTGGTTCGCATCTCCATTATTCCCCAATAGCCATGCTATGGGGTCTTGCAAAACTAATAGGCGGACGGGCGCCGTCGGGTCACCGTCAGAGCTGGTGGGCGGATGGTGTCCCGGTCATGTTTTGATGGCGTCCGGGTCATGTGATGCTGGTGTCCCGGTCATGTTTTGATGGTGTCCCAATCATGTTTTGATTGTGACCCAGTCATGTTGTGATGGTGTCCCGGTCCTGTTTTGATGGTGTCCCGGTCATGTTTTGATGGTGTCCTGGTCATGTTGCGATGGTGTCCCGGTCATGTTTTGAAGGTGTCCCGGTCATGTTGTGATGGTGTCCCGGTCATGTTGTGATGGTGTCCCGGGCATGTTTTGATGGTGTCCCGGTCGTGTTGTGACGGTGTCCCGGTCATGTTTTGATGGTGTCCCGATCATGTGATGGTGGCGCGGTCATGTTGTGATGGTGTCCCGATCATGTTTTGATTGTGTCCCGGTCATGTTGCGATGGTGTCCCGGTCATGTTTTGATGGTGTCCCGGTCATGTGATGGTGTCCCGGTCATGTTGTGATGGTGTCCCGGTCATGTTTTGATGGTGTCCCGGTCGTGTTGTGACGGTGTCCCGGTCATGTTTTGATGGTGCCCCGAGCATGTGATGGTGGCGCGGTCATGTTGTGATGGTGTCCCGATCATGTATTGATTGTGTCCCAGTCATGTTGTGATGGTGTCCCGGTCCTGTTTTGATGGTGTCCCGGTCATGTTTTGATGGTGTCCCGGTCATGTTGTGATGGTGTCCCGGTCAGCTTGTGATGGTGTCCCGGTTATGTTGTGATGGTGTCCCAATCATGTTGTGACGGTGTCTCGGTCATGTTTTGATGGTGCCCTGGTCAT